TTCACTTTAATTTTGGAAATATATACACTACTTAAGGAAAGGAGAATACATAGAAGAAAAATATTTATTTAAAAGGCCAAGGGGCCGGAGCGATAGCACAGCGGGTAGGGCGTGTTTGCCTTGCATGTGGTCGACCTGAGTTCAATCCCCAGCATCCCATATGATCCCACAAGCACCACCAGGAGTAATTCCTGAGTGCAGAGCCAGGAGTAACCCCTGAGCATCACCGATGACCCAAAAAGCAAAAGAAAAGAAAAGAAAAAACTAAGGACCAGAGATAGTACTGCAGGTAGGAGGCTTGCCTTGTACACAGCTGATTCAGGTTTGATCCCCAGTTCCCCATACGGTCACGCCATGCACCAGCAGGAGTGATCCTTGAGTGCAGAGCCAGAAGTAAGCCCTGAACACTGCCAATTGCATATGGTTTGAACCCTGCCATTGCATGTGGTACCCCAAGCACCACCCAGAGTGGTTCCTGAGTAGAGGCAGGAGTAAGCCCTAACACAGTTGGGTGTGGTCCCTACCCCACCACCAAATTGTTATAGTCAGGAGCCAAAGAGATAGCACAGGACTTAAAGTGCTTGCCTTGCATGTGGCTGACCCAGTTCAATCCCCCTGAACCATAAAGTCACCCAAGAAAAGATCCAGGAATAGCCCCCAAGTATTGCCGGGTATGGTCCCAAGAACCAAAAGACTTCTCACTTATTTTCCGCCTCATTCTATGGTTTTTAGATTTCAAACAAACTTGAAAAAATGAATAAGCATGCTATAAATTTGAATGGGATCCCAATATTTACGTATTCATTAAAGTTTTACCTGTTATCAATCTCAGGGCTTCAGGTGTTAATGGCAACTCTAAACTTAATCATTTGCATAAAAGCACTAGATAATTAATTTGTATTTTCGTGTAGTTGTGATCTATTCTGCAGTTCTAGAGCTGGAAATTTTTTTTTTATTAAAAACAATTCCCTATGCTAATCCCACGAAATTGTAGAACAGCCTCATTTTCCATACAGTCAGCAATATGTACAACATTTTTATTACTGGGATCACATTTCATATTTCCTGATTTTAAAATGCATTACAATTGTGCATTCCCCCAAATTAGACTGATTTACACCCCAGTCCTTATAGATCGTGTTTTGTTCCAACAGAAAGATAGAGGTTAAACCAACTTATATTAACAAATTCCCATTTGTGTGCGTTAGCATGACTTGGAGGAATATATTCCAATTTCATGGGGCCTATACTTTAGGTATCTTAAAATAAGTTACAGGACAGAGGTAGAAAAACGTTTTCAGAAAAGTGATTTATTTTTGCTGACTAAAAGCTAAAGCACAGGCAGCTCAGATCCAGTTACGATAGCTAAAGCATGTCCAGACTGGTTATCTAAGGCCTCTGCAGGAATTTAGGCCACGCATTAATGCACTGAAGATAAAATCAATTTGAAAATTTTTAAAATCAAATACCAATCCTGGAGTAATATCCTATGTAGAGGAGAACCAGCCAAGAGTAATAGAAAGCCAATTATAAACTAAAAACCGCTCTGCTCAAATATCCTGGACTCTAACTGGTACCTGTATGTACACACACATACATGTACAAGGTAACATCCTGAATATAACTGGCATGTATACACACACAAATATTCTAAATATAAACACCTTTCCATGGTACTACAGAAAATACGGGGCTTTGGTGTGTGTGTGTGTGTGTGTGTGTGTGTGTGTGTGTGTGTGTGTGTGTGTGTGGAGAGAGAGAGAGAGAGAGAGAGAGAGTGTGTACAGCAGGTAGGGTGCTTGCCTCACATGCAGCAGACCCAAGTTCAATCCCCAGTAGCACATGTGGTCCCCAAACCCCGCCAGGAGTGATCCCTGAGCACAGAGCCAAGAATAAGCTCTGAACACCGCTGAGTGTGCCCCCCACCCCCCAAAGAAAGGGAAAAAAAAACACAGATGATAGTGGGTCAGAGCAATAGCACAGAGGGAAGGGCATTTGCCTTGCATATGGCTGACCTAAGTTCGATTCCCAGCATCCTATATGGTTTCAAGCACTATCAGGAGTGATTCCTGAGAGCAGAGCCAGGAATAACCTCTAAGCATCGCTGCAAGTGATCCAAAAAGCCAAAAAAAGAAAAAGAAAAAAGAAAACACAGGTGGTACACTTTAGGACTTCCATCCATGTTAGTGATGTATTCCAGAGCTCAACTTCAATGTAAAGGGAAACAAATGCCAACAATAAATAAGACACAGTAAGATGGGGTTAGCAATGAGTTAGCCTGCGATCACATTCTGAGCATACCCACACCCGGCAAGCTACTGAGAATATCTTGCCCACATGGCAAAGCCAGGCAAGCTCCCCGTGACGTATTCGATATGCCAAACACTGTAACAACAAGCCTCACAATGGAGACATTACTGGGCCCGCTCAAGCAAATAGATGAACAACGGGAGGACAGTTCTATAGTGCTACCCACACTTACGAGATGCTGGCTCTTTTCCTCTCGACCCTCCACTTTGATGACTGCCCGGACCAAAATAACAAAGGGAAAAAAAGAAAGTGGTTTTTGCACTGCTGTCTTAAGAGATCTCAGACTCATAGGGTTGCAGTTCCAAATGAGGTACAATTGCTTTCATTTACATGATCTACTAAGAAAATCAGAGGTGAGGGGCCTGATAATACAGTGGGTAGAGCACTTGTCTTGCATGCAGCTGACACAGGTTTGATTGCCGGCACCCCATACGGTCCCCTGAGCACCACCAGGAGTAATTTCTAAGTGCAAAGCCAGGAGTAACCCCTGAACACTGCCAGATGTGGCCAAAAACAAACAACGATAACAGAAAAAAAAAAGGTCAGAAATAGGACAGCTTCATAAATCTTCCCCATGACCACATCCACTTGATGTAAATTTCTTGAAATACAAATGCACATAATACTAGTCATTTTTTCTTTTACCCAGTTCCTCTAATGTTTAATATGTATATAATCAAATGTCTGTGATCAACCATCAAGCCACCATCCATAAATGATCTCTCAGCTTCTACTTTCCAAATCATTAAGTCAACTGATACTCAGTGCATTTATAGTCTTAAGTCTTAAGCACTGTCCTCCCGTTGTTCATCGATTTCCTCGAGTGGGCCCAGTAACGTCTCCATCGTGAGACTCGTTGTTACTGTGTTTGGCATATCGAATACTTCACAGGTCGCTTGCCAGGCTTTGCTGTGCGGGCGAGATACTCTCGATAGCTTGCCGGGATTTTATAGTAGTATTTTCATTGACAGGTGTAGATTTAGTTGAAGGAACTTCTTAAATAACCTATTTAAACAGATCTAACTATGTAACTACTATGTATTTACCAAGTATGTTTCCCCTTAAACAAATTACCAGCTTGAAATGATAAGGGTGGTGCCTGGACATGGGCTGGTTTTTTGCTTGTTATTTTGGGCCACATCCAGCGTGGATATTACTCCTCGTTTTGTACTCAGGGTTCATGCATTAGCAGGCTCAGACCACATAGGGTGTTGGTCATGTGCAAAGCAAACATCCGACCCGCTGTACTTTCTCTTGGGCCCTTTTAAGTTTATAATTGTTTTCAAGGAGACAGAAAAATGTGGACGTCTCCTCTGATGGCAATAGGTCCACTTGAGGTGATGATTTTAAGCAGGAGCCAAGTAATGGGCATACTCAGTTGCGTGAGTATGGAGTAGGTAGCAATGAACTTAACCAAACGTGGAGTTTTGTCAGGCAAATATAATGAAGCGATAAGGTAGTCAATAGCAATTTATGATGTAGTCAGGAGAGACTGAAACTAGCTCAGAAGCTAAACTGGGTTATGAAACAAACAGGTGGGAAATTCAAGACAAATGAAAGGATCAATGAATTCTAAGTCACACACAATTATAACCAGTTTCTATGTCCACACATCTAACTCCTTCTATACGGAGATCCTCTGAAGTGGGAAGTTTCTTTTTTTCATTCGTAGTGCCTAAAGCACGTAAACTTGTGACCTCAATGAATACATGCTGACCCATGGCTTGAGAAATCTCTACTCAATTTCTTATATGTAATCCTCCTACATTCCTTCCACTGTTCTTTAGGGTCTAAATAAAAAGTTGCAAAAAAAAAAGTTGAAATGCTTCATCAAAACCTACAGCCTACAACCCTCTGCAGTGAAATCAGTCAGGAGGAGGACAGACACAGAATGACGAGGTCTGCACTCATTTGTGGGATATAAAAAAAAAAATAGTATCTAATATCCAAGGCCAGATAAAACAGGGGCCAAGAGAACTGGTCAATGGTTGGAAGCTTGCCACAACTGTCTGTGGGGCAAAGGACAGTTAGGATAGACAAGGGACCAGTACGACAATAATAGAAATGATCACTAACAAGAACTGAGTGTTGAAAGGAGGTAAAAAGATACACATAACTTTATCTCTCAGTATCTGAACTGCAAACCATAATGCCCAAAAACTGTGGGCAGGAGATGGTGGGGGAGAGAGGGAGAGTAGGGGGAAGGAGGAGGGAGAGAGAGAGAGAGAGAGAGAGAGAGAGAGAGAGAGAGAGAGAGAGAGAGAGAGAGAGAGAGAGAGAGGAGGGAAAAGAAAGAGGGAGAGAACTGGCCTGCCATGGAAGGAGGGGAAGGAAAGTAGGAACATTTGATTGGTGGTGGTGGTGGTGGTATGGAAAATGTACCCTGGTAAAGGGATGGGTATTGAAACATTGAATAACTGAAACCCAGTCATGAACAACCTGGAATTGTGTATCTCACTGTAATTCAACTTTTAAAAAAGAAAAAACAAAACCGTTTTCAGAGTAGAGAGATACCTCCCAAGCACAGCTTGGAGCATGCAGGAGGCCCAGGTTAGCCCCCAGCATCACACAGTCCCCTGAAGATTCCCAGGAGCAGCTCCTGAGCACTACAAGGTATAAGTGCTCCCCCACAAAAACTAAATAGTATGATTTTTTAAAAGACAAACAAGTTAATAAATAAATGCACAGACTAAGAGCATGTAAAATATGTTTTATTGTTCTTTAAAAGGGTTTGGGGTTTGGTTTTAAATCAGGCTGCACACCTTTCATCAGTCTGACATCTCTCACCATGTCAAACTGGCTTCAGCTAGCAATACTTCATTATATCCAAAAGAAAAAGAACTTTTAATTTTGAGGAAAAAAATCCAGTTCTAAGAATAATTATTAACATTAGTCTGCAATTTAAAACAAAATGAGGGCTAATGGTTCATGTTGCTTTATACAACCTTCTCATACAGAACCAGGAATGTAATTTTCCTAACGCAGGCAGGCACTGATATTGGTGGATGCTATGTGCAGATGCAAACACACAAGACACAAACACACGCAGACACACACTCTCATTCCCTCCCAGTGAGCAACAATAATAAGAGTTTGACAAGGAAAAGGTTCGTTATGGAACTGATCAAAACCCTTGGAGTCAACAGTCTAACTGATCTTAGAAGATAAGCTGTTTTGATCTTTGGGCCTATGTTAATGGAATCTACTGTCATGTTCTAAAATAAAGAACTTTGGATAGTACCATCATTTTTTATTTTAAAACCTAGAAACAATTTCAAAAAGCATTATTTTGTTTTCTGGGATGAGGGAGGAGAGAATCTATAGGTATTATTTAGTTAAAAATCAAAACTACTCCAGCATAGGAAATAGGCAGTTCACAAAGCCAGCCAATGTCTGAGGTATCATCAGTGTGAGACAAGGTCCTGGTCCAATTCTTACTCGCCTACCTGATCCTAACAAAATGGAAAGTTTATGGCTCTGCATACTTAATCCAGCAGGACAAGCCTTTATTCAAATCAGAGAACTATGTAATAGGTGAATGAAGAATGCAAGAGCCCCTAATCTGCTTAGTCAATACGGCCTATTCACAACTGCCAAGGAGCAGACAACAGCTTTACAAGACTGAACCCAGCAAAGAGTCTGCAAGGATAGTCTACCACTTCACTAGAAAGGCAGTCCCTCTGCTAGTCAGGTCGCTCTGATTCGCTTCTACCCTGTGATGGCCTGTGGACACATACTCACTAGGCATTGTTGGTTTTGAACCAGTGATTTTTCTTTTTAAAATCTCACATAGAACCTAGTATGAAAATAACAAGGCAATCAGTGGTTAAACTGAACTGTACATATAGGGGGGAGTTTGGAAAATACCCATCATAGGCATTTCTCAAGTCCAAAATAGTCTTTGCTGCTACACCTCTGAATGCTACCGAAAATTCAAAATACAAGACCTAACAAAAATTTTTAACTACCAGCATTCTCTTACATTATTAGAAAATCAGAGTAATGCTACAGCACACAATTCTACAAGGTATAGAAAGTGTACTAATTTCTGCCTAGATGCATCCTTAGTGATGAGCTGGTATGGCCCCTACCCTGGCCTGGGAAAATGTTTCTGGGCTATCCATTTAACTTCATTGGTTGGAAAAAGAGAAGAACTCGACTCCCAGCTAAGTTCAATGAGAAAAGAGACTCCTCTGAAAATGCTATTTCCCTCGCTAATTTACCAAAACAAAAGGCTCTTGGCTACTTCGCCTAATGTTGACTAAAAACTAACATGACAATTCCATCATCGGTAAAGTCTAAAAAAACAACCTGGATGATATATATGCCACAGCTTTTTGAGTCCCCCCCCCCACCCCTACCCTTAAAAGTGCCCACATGGGCTTAAGGCTGCCAGACTGTCCTCTCATCTACAGTAACAAGGGCTTCTCCTAGACCTACTTATTCCAGCAACAAGGGGGTCTCCTATTCCACCTTCCACCTACAACTTGTATTGGGGGGGAGGGGAGAGTCAGGAAAATAATAAAAATATGCACCCTCCCCCCTCAAAAAAAGAAAGAAAAAGGAAATCCCCCAACAGAGGGGGTCTATGTGCCAGGCATAATGGAAGACTGTGCTCCCCAAACAGATGGTTTTGCACAGGCTAATGTTCTGCTGGTTTTCCTTAGAGACCTACTTTGAAAATCTAACACAACAGGAGACTTTGAAATAATTCAATCTGGCAAAACTTCACACTCCCAACTCTAGGAGAAAATGATCCTTCACTAAATTAATCCCTTTTTTTCTTTCTCTTTTTCTTTTCTTAAACATTTTATTTGTGTTATTCAAGGATTTTTTTGTTTGTTTGCATCCAATCATTAGAAAAGTGATTGAGGAGTATTGAATCCATCACTACTTAGATGACACAGTAAAGATTCCAGATTCACATTTCCAGGTACCAAGAGTTCCCTCTAAATGCCACAATCAAGTCAGCCTTCGTTTATATTCTTTCTACTGAACACAGCAATGCCCATTGGTATCTCTGAAGCGCAATCGCATCTTAGGTCTGTATTTCTCCAGGTAAAGCAGCTGTTTGGAATTGAATGCTCCCCTTCTTTTTCTGAAAATACAAAAATGACAAACTATCATGTAAAAAAAGTATATGACTCACTAGAGTGCATAACTTATAGTATTACATTCCTCTGACATCAAACAATTGAAAACCAGCATATTTCCTATACAGAGCTATTTCTTTTTAATTTTTTTTCTTTTTGGTCACACCTGGCACCAGGGGTTACTCCTGACTCTGCACTCAGGAATTACTCCTGGAAGCGCATAGGGATCCATATAGGATGCCAGGAATCCTACCCAGGTTGGCCACATGCAAGGGAAATGCCCTACCCACTGTATTATCACTCCAGTCCCCAGAGTTACTGGACTTAATGGAAGGACTGAGTTTAAACAAATTTTTATGACTTCCTAGAACAAATTTTGATTCTTATTATTAATCATTTAATAAAGATCAGAATGATTTGTCCAGAAATATGACTTCCCACTTTGATTCATATATTCTTCGGAGCAGAATTGGTACCCATTTAGAATGAATGACCAAGTATTTAAAAGGAGCAGCAGACACAGACAGCACTCCTTGAAATATGTCACCTTCCCATTCTTCCAAACTATGCCAACTTTCTGTCAAGACACTACCATCTTGATCTTGTGCCTGTTACACAACAGACCTAGGTGATTCACTGCTCCACTAGATTCTTTCTTACCTCCTGGTCATAAAGTTGCATTTGGAAGGTATTTTAGACATCTGCTAAAAGAGACACTACATCAATAAGACTCTACTGCCTTGCTATTCATTTAAAATGTTCCTAAATAAGCTAGAATATCTTTCTACCTGGGAGCCAATAGTATAAGTCTCTCTAGCATATGCTCTTTTTCTTAAACAATACTTTAAGTCAAATTAAGCATATATTTCATTGTCAAAGGGATTTTTTTCTTCATATAGTCTTGGAGGTATTTTGTTATTTATTTTTAGCTTATTCTCTGTGATTTACAAATCTGTTGATAACAGTTCTGGGAAATCAATGTTCTACCTCCAAACCCATGACTATTGTCCGTGTTCTTTCACCAAAGAATGACCCAAAATTCTATCCCTCTTCCCCACCCAACCTCCTCTTAATATAATACTGTCTTTTATATGTTTCTGAAAATAAACCTTTATACTCACTGTCTTATAAACTGAACTGCATCTTCATACTTCATTCCACATTCAATTAAAGCAAGTGCAACAAGCACAGGTGCCCTGCATAGAAAAACTCACTTATTAAATTATTTACAAGACTCCAGGATTAATTTGTTTGGGGACCACACCCAAGGTGCTCAGGGATCACTCTAACTTTTGTGTGCTCAGGGGATCATGTCCTGTGCCCAGAACAGGGGTCAAGGAGCATGCAAGGTAACCAGAGGGCTCTCTGTTGGACATCAAAAAAAGATTATTTTACTCCAAATTACTTATTACCAAAGCAAAACAATGCTTAAGTTTTGTGAGATAAAATATCTAATATTTTTATATTAGATAAAAATATCTGCAAGGTGAATGGGAAAGGATATTCACCAACTACACATCTGATAAGTGGTTAATTTCAAGGATATACAAAATACTGGTTCAACTCCACAAAAAGAAAACATTCAATCCCATCAAAAAATGGGGAGATGAAATGAATAGAAACTTTGACAAAGAAGAAATCCGAATGGCTAAAAGACACATGAGAAAATGTTCCACATCATTAATCATCAGGGAGATGCAGATCAAAACCACAATGAGATATCACTTCACACCACAGAGACTGGCCCACATCCACAAGAACAAAAGCAATCGGTGCTGGCGCGGATGTGGTGAGAAAGGGACACTCCTTCACTGTTGGTGGGAATGCCAACTGGTTCAACCCTTTTGGAAAACAGTATGGATGATTCTCAAAAAATTAGAAATTGAGGCTCCCATTTGACCCAGCAATACCACTCCTGGGAATATATCCCAGAGAGGAAAAAAAGTATAGCCGAAGTGACATCTGCAATTGTCTGTTTATTGCAGCACTCTTTACAATAGCCAGAATCTGGAAAAAACCTGAGTGCCCGAGAACAGATGACTGGTTAAAGAAACTCTGGTACATTTACACAATGGAGTACTATGTAGCTGTTAGAAAAGACGAAGTCATGAAATTTACATACAAGTGGTACTACATGGAAAGTATCATGTTAAGCGAAATGACTCTGAAAGAAAGGGATAGACATAGAAAGATTGCATTCATCTGGGGAACATAAAGTAACAAAATAGGAAACTAACACCCAAGAATGGCAGAGATTAGTACCAGGAATTTTACTCAATGACCTGGAGGCCAACCACACATGTTAGGGGAAAAGGGAGCTCAGAAAGAGAAGGGAACACCAAATAAAGGGTGTTGGGAGGATCCTCCCAGGATGGGAGAAGCATGCTGAAAATAGACTATTGACCAAACATGATTGCCACTCAATGCCTCTTTTGCAAACCACAGCACTCAAAAGGAGAGAGAGGGAAATACCCTGCCACAGAGGCAGGGTGGGATGGGGGCTGGGGGGTGGGAGGGATACTGGGATCCGTGGTGGTGGGAAATGCGCACTGGTGGAGGGATGGGTGTTTGGTCATTGTATAATTGAAACCCAAGCACAAAAACGTGTAAGTCTGGAAAAAAAATAAATAAAATGTTTTTTAGTGGGAAAAAAAATATCTGCAAGGTAAAATATCTAATATTTTTCTATAAAGTTTCTTTAGTACTACTGATTACAATTTATTTAAAAAACAAGAAAAAAACATGGACAGCAGAGATGGCTCTAAGGTCCGGAGCACACACAAAGCTTATGGGAGCCCTGAGTTTATTTGTCAGCATGGCATGATCCCCTGAGCTTCACATCAGTAGGAGTCCCAAGCACTGCTGGGTAAAGTTCCAAAAGAAACAACAGTACAACTTATTGTCTACCTAGCACACTAAACCTTAAACATTTTTTTGGCCACACACACCAGTGCTCAAGTTTTACCGCTGACTCTGTACTCAGGAATCACTCTTGGTGGGTTTAGATGACCATATGGGGTGCGAAGAATCGAACTCAGGTTGGCCATGTGCAAGGCAAGCTCCTGACTCACTGTATTATCCCTCTGTTCCCCAATTTTAAATCTTTATCAAGAAAGCTTTACTCTTTGAAACATCTTTACACTATCAAATTTTTACACCAGAATTCTTCTTTTTTAAAAATTTAAATTTATTTATTTTGAATACCCATCCCTCCACCAGTAACCATTTCCCTCCACCACGGATCCTAGTAACCCTCCCATCCCGCACCCCCCCATCCCACCCTGCCTCTGTGTCAGGGCATTCCCTTTTGTTCTCTCTTTCCTAAAAATATGGAACGCTTCACAAATCTGCGTGTCATCCTTGCGCAGGGGCCATGCTAATCTTCTCTGTATATGTGCTGCCAAAGCAAGCACTACACCAGAATTCTTCATTGAGCACCTACCTTTCAAACATGTGGTCCCAAATTCAATCCCCAGCATCACCCCTAATATGCCTCCAGCAGTACTGCCCTTTGGTATCTCCAACCACAGTTAAGTGAGCAATGTACAGAACACTGGAGCTAAACATGTGCAAGCCCCAGCAAGCATTGCGACAAAGTAGGTCACCCCCAGCAAGAAGCTGCAATAAAAGAGTGAGCAGGTTGCAGCAATAGTACAGTGGGGAAGGCACTTGCCTTGCACGGAGCCAACCCAGGTTCAATCCTGTCATCCCATGTAGTCCCTCAACCCTTCCTGACAGGAGTGATCCTGAGTGCAGACCAAGGAGTAAACCCCAAGCATTGCTGGGTGGCCCCCAATTTTGGGTGCCCCAAAATAACCAATGTGAGTACTAAGTAACAGTCACAACAAAACGGAAGGAAAAGGGGAAATAAATGCTATGGAGATTTTAAAAAGATATTTTCATAAATCTTAAACCATTACTATAGTAAAATTAATAACATTAATTGTATTAGTAAAATGTATTCTTTTGAGTGCCTTAGAATTTTTACTTCAAATTGATTTTTTTTTAAATTTTTATTAGTGAGACATCATGAGGTACAGTTGTAGACTTACAAATTTTTGTGCTTGGGTTTCAATTATACAATGATCAAATACCCATCCCTCCACCAGTGCCTATTTCCCACCACCACGGATCCCAGTATCCCTCCCGCCCACCATCCCCTCAAATTGATTTTAACATCACATTTCATAAATTCTAAAATAGGTGAAAGAATTCAAGAAAATCATTTTCCTAAGCTAGGAGAACTGATATTTAGGAACAGTTCTCTAAATACAATTTTTTTTTCATCTAACAAAGAAAACATGTTTTTGTTTAGAGTCACACCTGGCAGTGTTTGGAGCTTTCTCCTGGTGCTCAGGGATCACTTTTGAGAGGGTTCAAGGACCATTTGTGCTGTTCTGGATAGAACCTGGGTTAGCTGCATGCAAGGCAAGTGCCCTACACGCTGTAACGATCTCTCCAGGCCCAGAAAACTTTTTAAATTACATTACATGTTGGGGCTAACGAGATATTTCAATGGAAGAGAGTACCTGCTTTACAAAGTTCAATCCCTGACACTGCACGGTCCCCTGAGCATTGAATCAGGAGTAGACCCCCACACACAAAAGTGTGAAACAGAATAGTCCGTTACCTTGGGCCAGGGAGATAGCTCAAAGTGTATATGCCTGAAAATGTTGAGGCTCCAGGTTCAATCCCCATATACCTCATGGCCCTCCTAAGTACTTCCAGGTGTAACACTAGTGTCTGAGCACTTAACAATAGAGCCTATTTGGCAAAGTATACAGGAATGGGAGGCCTTCTACCCCTAAGATCAAGTTCATCACAGGACACCAACTTTGAACTATCTAACAATTAATTACTGCACCAGATCAAATTAGAGTAATTTGGGGACAGAATAAGTTGTGGGCAGAGAGATAGTACAGGGATAAAGGTGCTTGATCCCTTTCAGGTCTAAGAGAAACTACCCTAAAGCGTAAAAAAGAAAATTATGAGCCAAAGGCATGAGCAAATGTTAACAGTCTTGAGTCACTAGCACGAGGCTCTGAGAGCAGCCTGTATATACTGATGTTGAGTGAAATGCAGATTATAAATTGGCATTTAATCTTCTGATGATGTTTGCAACACCATTCCAAGTAACACTTGAGGAATAAAATCAAAGTCAATTTTCATTCTTCACAGATATCCTTTCAGCCATCTGCTCTCCATCTATTAACTTCCCATTCACTGCAAGTCAAAATTAACCACGTATAGAGTCTTAAAATTTTAAATATTGTAATTTTAATTTTGTTGTCTATTTCAGGGCTTGAATCTGTGATTACTTGAAATGGAGAGAAAAAGAAAATAAACTGAAATAAGACTATTTTTAGCTCAAAGATAAATTATATTAAATCAACTTCAAAACAACTTCTGAATCATCACCCAGAGGCTAGTATAGTCTCAGATCTAGACAACCAATGACACTAAAAAACCACTGAGAAATCAATAACCAGTTTCACTCTCATTTTTTCCCCTTCTGAAATTTAATATTTGCTGTAATAAATGCAAATTTCTACCAAAGTAAAATTTTCAACTTGCTTACTTAAGACAAAAGGTAGGAACTTACCTTCCCAATCCTGCAACACAATGCACTGCAACACAGCAACCTGGCTCTTCACGAAATTTGGTTTTTAATAGGTTTAGCCAATCATCAACTATCTGATTAGGGGGTGGTGCTCCATCATCAAAAGGCCAATCCTGAAAAGGCAATATATTTTAAACTGATAACCTTCTCCATAACTAACATTCTAATGCAAATAGCTGCATAGGAAGTACACAGGACCGGTACAACTGAACTAAATATACGTAACTTATTTATAATATCACGATTCTGATATTATTGAAAAATGATCCAAGATGACTTGGCCATCTCAATGAAGTATAATCAGTGCTGTGTCTAATTTTATTTTATGGAAATCAGCTGCTATATGCTTTTACTCTTACTTAATCAGAGGACAATCATGATGTCTTAATTAAAAATAAAAATATATAATTAAAAAAGAATAAAAATGGGCCAGAGAAATAGTACAGTGGGTAGGGCTTTTGCCTTGCATGCAGCTGTCCTGGGTTCGATCCCATTTGGTCCCCAAGCAACACCAGGAGTAATTCCTGAGTGCAGAGTCAGGAGTAATCCCTAAGCATTGCCAAGTGTGACCCAAAAAAGCCAAAAAATTTTAAAAATAAAAATATGAACGAAAGCTTGGTATTACTAAAAGAAAAGAAATCCAATTAAAATATTAAGAATGGTTGTGCTCATTGTCAAAATGGCAATACTCCCCAAAGCATTGTACAGATTCAATGTGATCCCTATAAGGATACCTATGACATTCTTCAAAGAAATGGAGCACACACTCCTGAAATTCATATGGAACAGTAAGCCCATTTAGAATTACTAAAACAATCCTTGAGAAAAAGAAGATGGGTATCACCTTCCCCAACCTCAAACTCTACTACAAAGCGGTAATAATTAAAACCGCATGGTACTGGAACTAAGGCAGAGCCACAGACCAATGGAACAGGGTTAAATATCCTGACACACACCCTCAAAAATATGATCATCTAAATCTTTGATAATGGAGCAAGAAATGTGAAGTGGAGCAAGGAAAGCCTCTATAATGAATGGTGCTGGCAAAACTGGACAGCTACATGCAAAAAAATGGGCTCAGATCTCTACCTAACACCGTGTACAAAAATCAGATCAAAATGGATTAAAGACCTCAACATCAGACCAGAATCCATAAAATACACTGAAGATAAGGTTAGAAAAACACTCCACGACATTGAAGCTAACGGTATCTTCAAAGATGACACGCCACTGGCCAAGTAAGTTGAAAGAGAGATAAACAAATGGGACTATCTTAAACTAAGAAGCTTCTGCACCTAAAAAAGAAAAAGTGACCAAAACACAAAGACAGTCTACAGAATGGGAAAGGATATTTATTCAATTGGGCTGGAACGATAGCACAGTGGGTAAGGCATTTGCCTTGCATGCAGTCAACATGGCCTACCTGAGTTTGATTCTTCTGCCCCTCTCAGAGAGCCCGGCAAGCTACCGAGAGTATCTCGCCCGCATGGCAAAGCCTAGCAAGCTACCTGTGACGTATTCAATATGCCGAACACAGTTAACAGTCTCTCAATGTCACTGGGCCCGCTCGATCAAATCAATGAACAGGAGGACAGTGACAGTGACATTGACCCATTGGAAAAGGGGTTGATACCAAGGATATACAAGACACTGGTTGAACTCTACAAAAATAAGACATCCAATCCCATCAGAAAATGGGGTGATGAAATAACAAACTTTCTCAAAGAAGATATCTGAATAGCCAAAAGGCACATGAAAAAAATGTTCTTTATCACTAATCATTAGGGAGATGCAGCTCAAAATAACAATGAGATATTATCTCACACCACAAAGACTGGCCCACATCCAAAAGAACAAAAGCAACATGGGTGTTGGCGCGGATGTGGGGAGAAAGGGACTCTCCTTCACTGCTGGTGGTCAGCCCTTTTGGAAAACAGTATGGACGATTCTCAAAAAATTAGAAATTGAGCTCCCAATTAACCCAACAATACCACTTCTGAGAATATATCCTGGAGGCGAAAGAGTATAGTGGAAATCTGCACTTGTATGTTCATTGCTGCACTGTTTACAACAGCCAAAGTCTGGAAAAAAGCTCTATTGCCCAAGAACAGATGACTGGTTAAAGAAACTTTGGTACATCTACACAATGGAATACTATGCAGCTGTTAGAAAAGATGAAGTCATGAAATTTGCATATAGGTGGATCAACATGGAAAGTATCATGTTAAGTAAAATGAGTAAGAAAGAGAGGGACAGGCATACAAAGACTGCAGTCATCTATGGAATATAAAGTAACAGAATGGGAGATTAACACCCAAGAATAGTAGAGATAAGGACCAGGAGGTTTACTCTATGGCTTGGAAGCCAGCCTCAAATGCTGGGGCAGCTCAAATAGAGAAGGGAACACCAAATAAAGGGTGTTTGGAGGACCCGCTAGGGTTGGGAGATGCATACTAAAGATTGAAAACAATGGCTATTCAAAGCCTCTCTTGCAAACTACACCATCCAAAAGGAAAGAGAGAACAAAAGGGAATGGGATGGGGTGGTGTGAGGGATACTGGGATCATTGGTGGTGGAGAATGGGCACTGGTGGAGGGATGGGTACTTGATCATTATATGAATGAAACGCAAGCACGAAAGTTTCTAAGTATGTAACTGTACCTCACGGTGATTCACACACACACAAAAAAAGAATGGTTATGCTGCACACCATAAAATTAAAGTCTAAATATTAAATGCTTTGTTTCAAATGGTTAAAAGTAAATAAATGGCAGTAAAATCAGAAAGTATCCTAGTCAAGAGCTTACTTCACCTAGTATTCCCTGAAATGTACCTAGTTAAGAAATATAAAACATATTTCACTTATTAACTGGGTTTTTTTTTTTTTAATTTTTGGTTTGGGGCCATACCTGGGGATGCTCAGGCTTACTCCTGCCTTTGAACTGTACTCTCTTCAGTCCTTCACTAAGCATTTTCTATCAAAACTCACTGAATTAAACTTCAACCTGACAGAGCTGATTGAATTTACTTATCCTTTTCTAATGTGGGCTGGAGCGACAGCATAGTGGATCGGGCATTTATTTGCCTTGTACGCAGCTGAACGGGTTCGGTTCCTCTGCCCCTCTTGGAGAGCCCCGCATGGAAAGCCTGGCAAGATACCCGTGACGTATTCGATATGCCAAAAACAGTAACAAGTCTCACAATGGATATTTTACTGGTGCCTGCTCGAACAAATCGATGAACAACGGGAGGACAGTGCTACAGTGCTTTCTAATGTGCCTTGTAAGAGCACTGTTTCACAAGATTAAAAGGTCTTACTTAGGGATAACTGCTTAGAAAGCATTCCCAAACCAACTTAGTAAATTATCCATATTAAAATTGCTGGGGGGGGAGGGGCTGGAGCGATAGCACAGAGGGTAGGGCATTTGCCTTGCACGCAGCCGACCTGGGTTCGATCCCATATGGTCCCCCAAGCACCACCAGGAGTAATTCCTGAGTGCAAGCCAGTAATAATCCCTGAGCATCGCTGGGCGTGACCCAAAAAGCAAAAATAAATAAATAAAATTGCTGGGGGCCGGAACAATATATATAGCAGTATAGCAGGCAGGGTAACTTGCTTTCCAAGTGGCTGACCTGAGTTCAATCTCCAGGATCCCATATGGAGTGATCCCTGAGCACCATCGGGTATAGCCAGAAAAAGAAAAAACTTGCTGTGTCTATGAAAAGAAATCCCAAGCTTGGGCCAGAGAGTATGGTAAGGCGCTTACCTTGCACATGTGAGGGTGGAGGAAGAGAAGAGGATAGAGAGGAAAGGAGAGAGAAACCCCAAGCCTAATTCTAAATGTCTTTCCCACTTTTTTTTGGTGCCAGATACTGAACCTAGGTTTCCTGCATCCAAAGCATCTATCTACTCTGCTACTGAGCCACATCCCTCAACCTTATATTGTTTTTTTTCAGGCTTAAATTAGACCTTTATCTGATCAAAGCTACTTAATTTTGTAATCTGGGGCCACACCCAGTTGTGCTCAGGGCTTACTCCTGGCTCTTCTCGGGAATCATTCCTGGTAGTGCTCAGGGAACCATATGGGGTACCAGGCATTCAAACCAGGCTGACCGTGTACAAGACAAGCAACCTACCCGCTATTCTACTGCTCTGGCCAGTCAACACAGCTGTTTAAAACAAAAACAAAATTAACAAAACCCTAGGTTTAAAGACATGTAATAAATCTCAGACCTACTTTTATCTTTGACAACTAGTCAAATCTAGTTCCTTTGTATTTTGTGAACATGTTTACCAACAATACAGATACAAACTTGGTCAATCCAGTTCATTTTCTCACTCTGGTACATGTCAAAACAAATGACTTCTCATCTACACACTAAAAAACATATTCACAATACAGAGGGTGTATTCAGCCTACTTTCCAAAATTAAATTTTTGCCTTTTTTAAAAAATACATGGCTACAATTTAGACATTTTACACCTATTTTCAGAGATCTCCAGGCAAAAGACATTAAAAGTTATTTGCAAATGGAAAGGCAAACTATTATAAAATACAATAAAACATTTTCAAAATGTTTTTGATTTAGTTCTTCATGTTTTCACTAAAACAGAAGGAAAAAAATTGGATTGTATGAGACAACTCTTACCAACAAGACATTTTTCTTTTGGTTTTGGGGTCACATCTGGCAATACTAAGGGCTTACTCCTGGCTCTGCACTTCCCTGAGTGCAGGCAAGCTTAGAGGACCACATGAGTGCATTCCAGGGATCAAACCCAAGTCAGCCACTCATAAGACAAGCACCTTACCTTCTGCACAATCTGTCTGGCCCAGTTTATTTATTTTCTTGCATGAAATGCATCTTAACTACTGACCAAGGCAATAAGGATTATGGAATTTCCTCCTAATAGGAAGTAGGAAAATATCCTTATACCATTATCTTCACTATTACTTTCTTCATACAAAATTACATAAAAAAAAAAAAAGCGGACCAATGACTAGTTTAGCAGTACATTGTCTGCTTTGCAAGCCTGAGGCCAGTGAGGCCATGATACTGATCCATGGCACATATCCACATGTAATCCCAGCAGTTCTGCTGTTTGGACTCTTCCAGTGCCACAACAAAGTGTGTGATCTCCACCACACTACAAAAAAAGAGTGTGCAACCACCACAACTAAATGTGCAATTTCCATCAAGTACTACAGCCAAACCACCCACCACCCACCCCAGTCATCATAGAGAATAATCACGACAAAGGATGAAAATTTTTTTTAATCCAATTGTTTTCTTACTACACTGTCTTACCACAATCACATCAAATAACTAAGTCATTTCATTACATACTGTCTTGTGACTTATCCAACTATTCAGAGAAGAAAATATAAAATTTTACCTAACCAGACTGTCCTGTATCTAATAACAAAATAGCAGATTTAGGGGTTAAGAAGGAAATTTAGCTTAACTCCAATTACTTTATGCTCAAACTGAACTTAAGTCTAATCAAGGGGGTGGGGGGCAGGCAGAGAGATAGTACAGCGGGTAAAGTGCTGGACTTGCACACAGCTGACCCAGGTTCAATTCTCGATATCATATATGGTCCTCTGGGCACCGCCAAGAGGAAATCCCCTTAGCATCACCAGGTGTGGCCCAAATCCACCACTCCCGCCTCCAAAGAAAGAAAGAAAGGTGATTACTGCAGAAATAATGGGAATGAATGATGCTTGAAGAGCCCATTCAGGATGGGAGATGTGTGCTGAAAGTAGACTATAGACCAAACATGTTGGCCACTTAATATCAATACACGTTTGTGTCTTGGAAACCACAAACCCAAAAGAGGAGAGAGAGAGCAAAAGGGAATGCGCCTGCCACTGGTGGAGGGATGGATACTCAGTCATTGTATGACTGAAACATAAGCACGAAAGTTTGTAAGTCTGTAACTGTACCTCACGGTGATATATCAAAAAATAAATTAAATAAAGAAAAAAAAGAAATAATGGGAATGCATGAAATGGAAGGCCCAACAAATGCTACCAAAAAGGAAAAGCCCAACAAATGCTACCATGGCAAAACTAAACAGTCTACAATGTTTTCCTGTATGCTACTGGCATTATTGTAAACAAACCAGGGCAAGATTCTGGTAAGAGAATTAATGTTTGTATTAAAGTCCATTAAGCACTTCGTGAAATAACTTTCTGAAGTATGTGAAAGGACGGAGAGAGGGGAAAAGTCAGAGAACGGTACTTAGGTTCAACTAAATTATCAGTTTGCTCCACCCAGAAAAGCTCACTGTTTGAGAACCAATGGAAAGGAGCCGAACCCATTCCCTATGAATTCAAGGCATAAGGAGGAAATTATAATCAAGCCAGTAGCCTAGAAACAAAAGATAAATATTTTATTAATTTTCTAAACAAACAAAACGCAAATTACCATTTTCTTGAAGTAGATGCCTTACGGTTTACTTTCTATTTGCTGAAAATGCTCTGCATGTGTAAACTTAAAGGTCACAAATTGCCAACCCAAAGGAATCTTAAAAAATTACTATAAACACTGTATATCTATTACAAGCTTCTGATGCAACATGGTGTTGCTAGTGAAAACTAAAAACACAACACACTCACTAGGACATAGATTCCTTCCTTTTCCACTGGAGCTTTATCATATGTAGCATCACAAACTCGAACCAAAGTTGTCACTCCATACTTCTTAAGTTCCTTTAAAGAAAATCAAAGAAATTTGCTTTTAGAATCTGTATCCAAAGCACATTTAAGAATGTACTATATAGAGTTGGAGATGTTGGTCAGTGGTAAAATGCATCCCTTACATATGTCAAGTTCAGAGTTTGGTCCTTAGCATCACAAAAACAGTAAAAATAGAATAATTAAGTCATAATTCTTAGATAAAAAATCAAAATCATTCTCATTATAGCATCTTATATAATAACCGTTCCTATACTCTCAGAAGAAGCATCATTCTCCTTTTATAAAGGGTAGTCTGATAGTGTAAAAAACTTTAAGAGGGCAAATACATCTTTTTCTAGAAATTCTACTCCTGGGAATTTACGTTAACAAAATTATAGACACAAAGATTTAAATATACACAACCTCAGCACAGACTGTCAGAATGGTGAGTAGTTGAAACATTAATGGCTTGAACCAGGAGCCAGAGAAAGCCCTGAGCTCCAGCCAAGATTGATCTCTGAAAACAGAACAGGAAGTAAGCCCTCAGCACAGAGCAGGAAGTAAACCCTGAGTATCACTGGCTATGGCCCAAAAACAGGAGAGGGGGAGGGGGGATTAAGAGGGGAGTTCCATTCAGCGGACAAGGAGACAGTTCAGCAGTCAAGAGTGCATGTTTGAATGTTGGCACCACATGGCTCCCCAAGCACATCTGGTATATATAATCCCAGAGGCACTACCTTAGTAGTTTCCAAACATCACTAGAATCACCCTGGTGGAGGATGAGGAGCATCCTTAGAATTGGACGATTCAGCCCAGTTGGACAAGTCATCACTGGAAGTGGCCCCTGAGACCCGAGCAATGTGTGGGAATGTGTGAGAAGGAGCATCACCCCCCAAATAAAGAGCTATGTTTTTTTTCATGTTTGTTGAATGAGTTTTTCTACCAGTACAAAAAGGAGAAAAAGAGGGCTCTGACATGAAAATACTACCAATAGGACTGGGAGACAACTCAAAATGTCAAACATTTCTTTTTATGTGGGAAGTTTGGGTTTAATCCCCAGCACCACAGTCTCTTCCCTCACCCTCCAACACTGCCACTATGGCCCAAAGCAAAAACAAAAAGAAAAAGATAGGGAGATCAGACAGCAGGTAGAGTGCTTGCCCTGCAAGCAGCCAAGCCAGGTTCGATCCCTAGCATCCTGTAAGCATCCTCCAAGCCCACCAGGAGTGATACCTGAGTGTAGAGCCAGGAGTAAGCCTTGAGCACCACCAGGTGTGGCCCCAAAACAAACAAAAAGATAATATATAGAATCCTTTTCTTAATGGATATGTTTTAGGTGATTACTATTGCTAACAGTTCAAGCATCTTTTCAATAAAAACTGTTAGAATGTTTGAAGTAGATAAGGGTTTTAATGTCAGAGACAGTTCTAACTGTATTATGTACCATCAGGCAAATTATTAATCACTGTATCCCTGTCATGCAGTTGTTCATCAATTTACTCGAGCAGGTGCCAGTAACGTCTCCATTTGTCCCAGCCCTGAGATTTTAGCAGCCTCTCCTTACTTGTCTTTCCCAATGCTGCCATATTAAAGGCTCTTTCTGAATCAGGGAAATGAGACCTGACAGTTACTGTTTTTGGCATATCAAATACGCCATGGGTAGCTTGCGAGGCTCTGATCTAAAATTCCTCTTCCTCATCTGTAAGTAAATATGGTACCTACGTTTCACAGAGATGTTTGTGAGGAATAAATGATATAAAGCATGAAAGTTTTTTGTAATGCTGGGTACTGAAATGTTCAATACTAGTTCACTTTTATTATTAGAAATATGACAAAAGACCTACTGTTAAGTATAAGAACGGTTCTAATCTACATGGTCTCCTCAAATTCCATAAACGTGCTTTTAAAATTCTATTGCTGCTAATTTAATCAAAGAATGGTAAGATGATCATCCCTATACAAATTAAAGAAATAAAATGGCTTTGTGATCAGACATTTCTTTCTAATGGTATGAATTTTTACAGTATTCTACCTCTACAGAAAAAAATCAATCCCAAATCTAGATCATGATATACTCTTACCTCTGTGAACTTGTTGAGGGTTGCATTGGTAGGATTGTGAGTTATCAGAAAACGCATATTCTCATAGGAGATCTCCACAGGGGCTGGACGGTTCATTATGGCAAAAAAAAAAAGTGAGCGTGCGTGTGTGTGTGTGTGATGGGGAAAATGAAAAATAAAAATTAATAAATCTTGAAATGTTTCACAGCAGAAAACATTAAAAAGATCACTAAAATGCCTGTTATCAGTGTTTTTCTCTATTCAACTTGCTTATTCTTTAAGAAGCTTCGTTCTTCAATATAAGCAGATGTATTTAGAATCCACTTGAATCCAAATTCAACTTGGGCCTCAATGTCTGCAGATGAATACCTTCAGACTCCAAAAAAAAAAAAAATCCTACTACATATAAAATTTATGCAGCCTTTACTACATTTAGGCACTAGTGAAACAAGTTTAAAGTGTAGGTCGCGTTTCACTTTTATTTACTTGATGCTTAATTTTACTGGAGTCATTAAAAGAAATATGCTTTGCAATTAAAAAAAAAAAAAGCCAACTGTTTCTGAGGCCAGTCTCGGTGTCCAGAGTCTTCAAGGCAATGTTAACTATGGCACATAGGACCCTCAACTCAAGTTCACTTGTCAGCGAAAACGCTGTGCTGAGCCTGGCAGAAGTCTGCCCTCACGCTCAGAATCGCCATAAATGTGCAACGTTTATTCCAACGAAAAACCTGGGGGGGAGGGGAAATAAAGCATAAGTAAAACGAACTGGAAGTTGGCAGTATAATAAGTACAAAACTCAAGTCAAAATTACAATTTTTTAGTCCTAAGTCATCTAAAGTGTCAGCACTTATAAATTGCTGCCAACTATAAGTAAAATAAAAGTGCATAACAAGAGTAAACTCTTAAGTGATTCCAAAGCAAAGTCTTTCTATGCTAGTTAAGATTGCATCTAACAAGTCATTTGTTAATTGCTCAATTTTTACATTCACAATATACCACTTTTTAAATGACTAGAAGCCAGAAAAATAGCTCAAAGGGCTAAATGCATGCTTTTGTATGCAGGAGGTCATAGTCTAATACCTGACATAACATAGTCAGCCCCAACACACACTAGGAACAGCTTCTCAGCTCAAAACCCCCCAATTAAAAAAAAAAAGATAATAAAGTAATAAATGATAAAATAATAATAAAATGATAATAAAATCACTGGAAAAAATACTTTTTGTGCTTGCCTTGCACACGACACATGGCCTGCCAACCCAGGTTCATTCCCTGAGCTTCACCAGAAGTGATTCCCTGAGTGCAGAGCCAGAAGTAAACCCTGAGCAACAACAGGGTATAACCTCCCCCGCCCCCAAAAAAATCATCCTGGAGTTATATACAGAGGGTAAGTGTTACACTCAGTTGATCCAGGGTCAAATTCTAGTTCCAGGAAAGGTCCCTGAGAACAAAACCAGGAGTAAACCCTGAGCACCACTGGATGTCATCCCCCCTCCACACCCCCCCAATAAAACTTCCCTTCATAAACTCCATAAAGATCACAATGATATCCTTATTTTCATAATTTGATCATTAAACCCTTCACATATACTTTTGCTTAAAATAAGCTGTATCTGTGATTAAGTGCCAAAATTCCATACTGAGGATTAGTTTTTCTATACAAACTATTCACACTGATCCCCAATTATACCAGTCCATAAAGCATCAAAACATCTTTTATTCACTACTTTGACTGGTTGTTACTACCTATGAAGAATGAAAATAAAGAATCAACAAGGTGAAACGACTTTTTTAAAGTGAATTAATGAGGGGTCAGAGATGTGACTCAAGTAATGGTCCATGTCGCTTGCATATGAAAGGTTCTAGGTTGGTCCCTGGTCCCAAATTCACTCTAGCACCACTAGGGTCAACCCCCCAACCACTGAGTGGCCCCCACAACAATAAAATAAAAATAAAACCAACTTTTAGTTTTGTTTTTTGGGTCACACCTGGTGATGCCCAGGGTTTACTTCTGGCTCTGCACTCAGAAATTACTCCTGACAGGCCTGGGGGACCGTATAGGGTGCTGGGGATCAAACCTGAGTCACCCGCGAGCAAAACAAAACACCTTACCCTTGCCAGTGTACAAGACGAACACTGTACTATTGCTCTGGCCTGTACTATTGTTCTGTTTCTATCAATGTACCATAATGCCAGATGAGTCACTAATATTTAATTCCATCTTCTCATTAAAAGATCACTGATTTGTGGGGCTGGAGAGATAGCACAGCGGGTAGGGCATTTGCTTTGCACGTGGCCGACCAGGGTTCAATTCCCAGCATCCCATATGGTCCCCTGAGCACCGCCAGGAATAACTCCTGAGTGCAGAGCCAGGAGTAACCCCTGTGCATCACCGGGTGTGACCCAAAAAAGCAAAAATATATATATATATAAATAAAAAAAGATCACTGATTACAAACAGTATTCTCCTGACCAAAAACAAGTGAGATAGAATAACTTAAAGAATTTATTATTTTAGGCCTGCAGTTCTAAAACAGTAATATTAATAGCTAGCTCAAAGTATCAACATAATCATAAATTCCTCTGGAAACAGGGACATGGTCAAGTCCTTTCACTTGCCCAGTCACTGATAAGAGCTTACTTAAAAATCTCTAAAAAAAGGTTACTGTGGCTAGATAGAAAAGAACATGAAAGATAACTACAGAACCATTTTCAATAAGAAACAAATACATAAGAAATCTAGAGAGCTTCAAACTTTCCAGCCCTTTCTTCTACCTTCAAGCAGACTATGATATTTTCAATGTATTTCATTTTATGTTACAACCCTGTGGTTATATTGTTTGTGGACACAAACATAAAACTAAAACATTACTAACATATAAAATATCAAAACAATTAAGAACAGCTTTTACCTCAGCAGTTATCCACTGCAATAAAAATACAAAACTGCTACAAACAAAAACCATAGAAGAAAGAACAGACCAGTCTCCTACACTCATAATTCTAACTGAAACCATAAAATGCCACTACCTATTATTATATCATTGTATTCTAAAGGAATTTTAAGAGAAACAGAGATCAGAGATCACCTTCTGACCTACCAAATATTTGGGATCTAGAGGTTAAAATAACCTAACTAGGGACCAGAGGTAGTACGGTGTTAAGGTGCTTGCCTTGCACGCACCCAACCCAGCTAGCTTCAATCTCTGACACCACATAAGGTCCTCACAAGCTTCATCAGGGATCACCAGGAGTGATCCCTGGGCACAGAATCTGGAGTAAACCTTGAGCACAGCCAGATGTGGCACACACCTTTCCCCTCCAAAAAATATTTTTTTAATTCTAAAAATAAAATAGTCTAACTAGGGGCCAGAGAGATAGTTCAAAGGGTAAGGTGCTTTATCTTGCAGCAGACCTGTTCAATCCTTGTTATCTGAGTACCACCAAGAGTAATTCCTGAGCACAGAGTCAGGAGGAGCCTCTGAGTACCACTAAGTGTAGCCAGGCCTTTCCTGTGCCCCCTCTACCTACATTAGAATTAACACTGTGGCCAAAGCAATAGAACAGAGGATAGGGCGTTTGCCTTGCACACAGCTGACCTGGGTTCGATCCCTGGCTTCCCATATGGTCCCTTAAGCACCACCAAGAACAATTCCCAAGTGCCTCGAGTAACTGCTGAGCACCACCAGGTGTGAGCTGGAGAAAAAAAAAAAGACAACATTGTTGAAGCCTGAGCAATAGTAATAGTGGATAGGGCATTTGCCTTGCACATTGTCAACTGGGTTCAATCCCAGGAGTCCCATACGGTCCTCCAAGCACTACCAGAGTCATTCCTGAACTCAGAGACAGAAGCAAGCCCTGAGCATCACAGGTTGTGGTCCCAAAACAAACAAACAAACAAACAAAAACAAACAAAAGGCACTATTAATTTGTAGCAAGAACAAAAACTCAAATCTTCTAAGACCCCACTTAATTTTGTAACTAAAAGAAGTAAATTATTTTTTTCAAAGTCATTATTTTCAGGTAAGCATAACTTTTTCTGAAAGTTTACTTGAATGTTCATCTGCAACATTGAGTTTGTAAAAGGGGGAAAAAACATTAGCTAAGTAACTACACAGCAGTGCGAACAAAACACAAGACATTCTAACCAGTCTTCAATGATGTTATCACAGCTAAAATGTGTGTTAGCTCAGTGTAAAGGAACTGAAAAACCATCACTGTAATGACAGCAGGCTTAAAGTTATATAGCTGCAGTATTATTTTCTACATCATCTCCAATTTGTCCAGCAAATAAACTTTATCACACCTTATTCTTCCAAGATCATTTAAGAAGCACACATCTAGGGATAAGGATAGTTTATTATTAGATTTTCAATTCTTGACACTAAACTGAGATCCCAGCAAAGAAATTTCTGCCAAATAAAACAGTACTTTTTTTTGTTAACACATGGAAGATAAACTTCTGTTCTGTCCCCTCCCCCAAGAGTTCCACATCAACAGTTAAAAGTTCTGCACCTGCCAATTCAGATAAACTACTATGCTAACTACTGTGACATACATAAGAATTCAAAGCAACAGTCAAATAAACTATTGCAGTAAGAAATACCCAAAAATTACAGAACCCTACATCTAAGCAAAAATCCAGCACCTGTTCATAATACAGAAAAATTTTCTTCTGTCTTGTTTTTTTGGGTTTGGGGAACACAACCAGATTCACTCAGGGCTGACTCCTGGCTGTGCTAAGAGGTACTGTGTGTGGTGCCAGGATGGAACAGGCATCGACTGCGTGCACAGCAAGCACCTTAGCCCCTGTACTATCCCCCAGTCCTTGAAAACTTTCTTCTAAAGAAAGCCCCTCTCAACTTAATTCTGCTCTACTTAAAATTTTATCAGATGCAAAAGACACAACAGCAGTCAAATTCAACTGAATACACAAGTGTTCTCTCCACCTTTTATCTTTAATAGAAGCTACTTTTTAAAATGTTGAACTTGGAGCTGGGGAGATAGCAGAGCGGGTAGGGTCTTTGCCTTGCACGCGGCCAACCAGGGTTCGATTCCCACCATCCCATATGGTCCCCTGAGCACCACTAGGAGTAACTCCTGAGTGCAGAGCCAGGAGTAACCCCTGTGCATCGCCAGGTGTGACCCAAAAAGCAAAAAAATAAAATAAAATAATAAAATAAAATGTTGGACTGGAGGTAGGGAACTTTCAAATTTCGTTAAACAATATTTCAGTTTTCGTCAGTGGAGGGTTGTCACGACCAGTGTGTTCAGGGCTTACTCTTGGCTCTGTGCTAAGGGATCAGTCCTGGCAGGGAAGAAGGGACCACATAGTGATAGGGATTAAACCCTGGTCCTACACATGCTAGGCTACTACCTTACCTTATGTACTATCTCTCAGACAGCAGTATTGCCATTTTTAACAGAACAAAACTTCACTGAAGCACTAGAAGACAGTCAGTGACAGGAATCTTTTTAAACTAAGAAAGAAAAGAAAGGGGCTAAAGCGATAGCACAGCAGGGAGGGCATTTGCCATGCATGCAGCCGACCCGGGTTCGATTCCCAGCATCCCATATGGTCACCTGAGCACCTCCAGGAGAGATTCCTGAGTGCAGAGCCAGGAGTAACCCCTGTGCATCGCCAGGTGTGACCCAAAAAGAAAAAAAACGGAAGTTACCTGCAGGGTGGGCAGTACTGGAAGTTAGAAACCAGTGAAGTATGATTTAC